GCGGGTAGGGGCTTACATTTTGCCCTTAATATGTGCAGTCATCTGTTCACAACAAGAAACTTAAAACATGTTTTAAATGGTGAACTTGTGTAGAGAAATACCGATTTTGCAATTATGCTCCGCCCCTCGGTCTGACAACGAATGAAAAATTCATCACGATTGAGAGCGAGACAGATGGGTGGGGCTTTTCATTTAGTTTTCTTTGTACAACATGATTACTTAAGAACATATTTTACATCGTAATTTCTCGTAGAAAAATAAGAATTTTTCAATTAAGTTCCACCCCCTCGGCTTACAAAAAATAAAAAAAAAATCATGAGAATAGAGACAGGGCGGGTGGGCGGGGCTTATATTTAGCCTGTTTTTCTAAATATGTGTTGTCATCTTTTCACAACAAGAAACTTAAAACGTGTTTAAAATGGTAAATTCTTGTACACAAATATGGATTTTGCAATTAAGCCCCGCCCCTCACAACGAATTTTTTTTTCTTAATATACATAGCTATTTTTTCACGACAAGAAAATTGAAACAGGGTTAAAATAGTACATTTTTGCAAGGAAATATGGATTTTTCAATTATGGGGCGGAACCTATTTGCAATATCCATACTACCTTATACAAATTTTCCATTTTAAACATATTTTAAGTTTCATGTTGTGAAAACAAGTCTACACATATTAAAACACAAAGACAACATGTAAGCCCGCCCACCCGCCCTGTCTCAATTGTAATGATTTTTTTTATTCGGCGTGAACCAAGGGGGCGGAGCTTAACTGCAAAATACTTATTTCTTTACAAGAAATTAAAAACATGTTTTTGCGTATCGTGTTGTTCAAAGAATACGATGAATATTAAGAAAAAAAAAAGGCAAAGGAACTTAAAACATGTTTAATATAATGGTAAATTGTTATAGACAAATATAAATTTTGTAATTAAGTTCCTCCCCTGGATCTAACAACATATTAAAAATTCATTATTATTGAGATGGGGGCGGGTGAGCGGAGCTTATATTTAGCCTTTTTTTCTTAATATACTTCAAATATGTTTAAAATGGTAAATGTTTGTAGAGAAAAATTCATCACAATTGAGATCGGGTGGGTGCGGCTTAATCTTTTCCTTTTTTTTTGTGAATATATATAGTTTTCTATGTTGTTCTTTCTACAACACGATTTTAAAACAGCCTATGGTAATTTTTTGTAGAAAAATAAGAATTTTGCAATTAAGCTCCGCCTCCGACTCACGACGAATAAAAAATTCACCACAATTAAGATACGGGCGGGTGGGTGGGGCTTCTTAATCATTGGCTTCTTATTCTTATTATAACTATATACTTTTTTTCAACAACACGATATTTAAAACATAATTGTATGTTCAAATTAACCGTTTGATATTTTAAGTATTTTATTGTTGAAAAAAGACTATATCACGAAAAGAATCAAAGGTAAGCGCCCCGCCCACCCGCCCCATCTCAATTGTGATTAATTTTTTTATTCGTCGTGAGACGGAGGGCGGAGCTTCAATGCAAAATGCAGATTTCTCTATTGTCTTTGCCATTTCTATTGAAACACCACCGGTCGATTTTGTTGAAAATTTAGCAATTGGTAACAGCTTTCGATTGACTGAGAACGGGTTTTAGTAAGAAAATTGTCTGAATACGAACATTGATGGCTACACAACATGTTTTAGTATCGTGTTATTGACACAAAACTACACACATTAAGAAAGAAGTTCGAAAAATTAAGCCCCACCCGCCCGCCCAGATCTCAATTGTAATGAATTTTTTATTCGTTACGAGGACGGAGGGGCGGAGCTTCAATGCAGAGTTCATATTTCTCCAGAAGAAATTACCAGGTGAATCATGTTTTAAATATCATGTTATTGAAAGAAAATCACACATATTTTGAAAAAAAGTCAAAAATTAAGCCCCACCCACCCTTCCCAATATCATTTGAGGCGAAATTTTTAGATGGGGGGGGGGGAAGCTTAATTGCAAAGTCCACATGTTTGAGGCATGATCGTGTTGTGGAAAATAGACCATTATGAGAAAAAAATAGGGAATTAATATTCTTATTCTCTCAAAGCAAAAGGAGATCGAAAGAAGAACAAAAAACTACATAAAAATAAAAATTTTAGCATTTACAACCTGGTTTTTCTGTAATTTTGTAATATTAATCTAGCAATTAAATTTTAAGTGTTTTATTGTTGAAAAAAAGGACAATGTATATTGCGAAAAAACAGTCAAAAAATAAGCCCCACCCACCCGCCCCATCTCAATTGTTATTAATTTTGAGACAGGGGGCGGAATTTCAATGCAAAGTTGTATTTCTCTATAATGGGAAACATGTTTTCAGTATCGTGTTAATAAAAAAAGTAAAAAAAAAAAATTAAGCCCCGCCCACCCGCCCCGATTTCAATTGTGACGATTTTTTTATTCGTTATGCGATTGGGGGGGCGGAGCTTAATTGCAAAATCCGTATGTTTGAGGAATGATCGTAGAAAGAAAAAAGACCATTAAAAAAAAGTAGGGAATTAATATTCTTATTCTCTCAAAGCAAAAGGAGAACTATACAAAAATAAAAATTTTAGTATTTACAACTTGACTTTTCTGTAATTTTGCAATATTAATATATTAATATTTGAAGTATTTTATTGTTGAAAAAAGACAAGGTATATTGCGAAAAAACACTCAAAGGATAAGCCCCACCCACCCGCCCCATCTCAATTGCTATTATTTTTTTTTATTCGTCCTGCGACAGGGGGCGGAACTTCAATGCAAAGTTATATTTCTCTACAAGAAATTACCATGTGAAACATGTTTTAAGTATCGTGTTATTGAAAGAAAACTACACATATTAAGAAAAAAGTAAAAAAAAATTAAGCCCCACCCACCCGCCCCGATCTCAATTGTGACGAATTTTTTATTCGTTATGAGCTCTGGGGGCGGAGCTTAATTGCAAAGTGCGTATGTTTGAGGGATTATCGCTCTGTAGAAAAACGACCATTTTAAGAAAAAATAGGGAATTAGTATTCTTATTCTCTCAAAGCAAAAGGGGATCGAAAGAAGAGAAAAAAAACTAAATAAAAATAAAAATTTTAGTATTACCAACCTGACTTTTCTGTAATTTTGTTATAATAATATATTAATATTTTAAGATTTTATTGTTGAAAAAAACACAATATATATCACGAAAAGGCAGTCAAATGATAAACCCAACCCCAGTTGTTATTAATTTTTTCATTCGTCCTGAGACAGGGGGCGGAACTTCCGTGCAAAGTTATATGTCTCTACAAGAAATTACCATGTGAAACATGTTTTAAGTATCGTGTTATTGGAAGAAAACTACACACATTAAGAAAAAAAGTCACAAAAAATTAAGCCCCGCCCACCCGCCCCGATCTCAATTGTGACAAATTTTTTATTCGTTATGAGATTGGGGGGCGGAGCTTAATTGCAAAGTCCGTTTGAGGCATAATCGTATTGTGGAAAAGAGGCCATTTTGAGAAAAAAATAGCGACGAATTAATATTCTTGTTCTCTCAAAGCAAAAGGGAATCGAAACAAGAAGACAAAAAACTATATCAAAATAAAAATTTTAGTATTCACAACCTGATTTTTTTGTAATTTTGTAATATTAATATATACATATTTTAAGTATTTTATTGTTGAAAAAAAAACAATGTATAATACGAAAAGACAGTCAAAGGATAAGCCCCACCCACCCGCCCCATCTCCATTGTTATGAATTTTTTCATTCGTCCTGAGACAGGGGGCGGAACTTCAATGCAATGCAAAGTTATATTTCTCTACAAGAAATTACCATGTGAAACATGTTTTAAGTATCGTGTTATTGAAAGAAAACTACACATATTTGAAAAAAAAGTAAATAATTAAGCCCCACCCACCCGTCTCAATCTCAATTTAGATGAACTTTTTAGATCGGGGGGCGGAGTTTAAGTGCAAAGTGCATATGTCTGACGCATGAAGGTATTGTACAAAATGAGACTATTTTGAGAAAAAAATAGAGAAAATTCTTATTCTCTCAAAACAAAAGGAGATCAAAAGAAGAAAAAAAGTTAAATTAAAATGAAAATTTTAGTATTCACAAGCTGCCTTTATGTAATTTTGTAGCGTAAATCGGTAGATGTGGCAACACAGGTAACGCAGCTGGACATAATTCTAACCTCAAACAGACGCATTAATATTTTAAGTATTTTATTGTTGAAAGAAGACTATATTGCGAAAAGAAAATCAATAGGTAAGCCCCGCCCACCCGCCCCACTTCAATTGTAATTAATTTTTTTATTCGTCGTGGGACGGGGGGCGGAGCTTAATTGCAAAGTGCATATTTCTTTACAAGAGTTACCATATGAAACATGATAATTTATAAATTAACATCGTTCTTGTGATCTTACACTCACGACGCCTCTCCGAACAACAAAAAATTTGCCACAAAGATTCTAATTGCAAAAATGTATTCAGTTTAAGGCACATAAAATTAAATTTGGTAAAAGTTTTTAGTTTTTTAGTTTTAGAGTTTTTTCTCTAAAAAAGAAAAATTTTCGTAATCTTTGGAACTACTCCACCAATTGTAGCAAAATTTTGTGTGTACTTTAGTAATATTGTATATATTGTAAAACGCCAACCAAAATTTGTTTAATCAGCCCCAGTAACAATTTGATCACGCTGCTCAAACCTTTGCAGGGTAAATGCTATTTAAATTTTATAAAATAACACACTCCAGTATTTGTGGTTTATGAATCCCCCTTGATTTTTTATTTTAGTTTTTCAAGTTTTCTGCTTGGAACTTTATTGTTATTACTAATGTTCTCGGGCGCCAAAATGGCCTTTCATTGTTGTTTGATATCTAGTAGGTCATGCATTTTGCTTGTAAGTTGGTACTACTGAGGCAATTTTTGTGCAACATTCAAGTCGCCACCACACGGGGTCACATCTAAACGAGCTCGAATTTAGCGAACAAACAGTGGCGCTATCTCTACGCACCATAGGTGTCTCCGGGACAGGTCTTGCAGCATCTCCCCGGAAGATGTACCGGCTCTTCGCATGTGGGTTCCGGGCACTCATTCTTGATGCTCCGGCACTGTACTCTGGCCACGATTCGCCTCTTCTTCTGCAACTGCGAAAAAAGTTGAACGAAATGAAAACGGGTGTATACAGTTACGGGGCGCCGAGATGCGAAAGGTGTCGGTAGATCACAGAGTGGTGGAACGGTTGCCGGTCACCGACCCGGCTGACCTCTACCTTTAGACGCCCCCATCTCTGCATGCACAGATCTCGCGACGCAACCGCTTTGACATACTCTGGGATCTTCGCTGAATTATTCATCAATGAGTTTCGGCTGGGACGGGTAAATGAATGGACGCGGTACTTACCGGCACACATTCGCACTTCATGCAGTAGAGGACGCCGATGGGCACGCCGAGGTCGGGGATCCACTGGGAGTGCAGCTCGCGGACCTGCTTCCCGAAAACGCACTCTGGAACAGAAAGACGCGATTCGTAAACATCGCTCGAAAATATGAGTCACAATGTTTGTACTAAAACGCATTATGAGGTCAACAGGTTGCCACTACGTGTCTGCTAGTAAAAAAGTGGAAAATACTGGTCGCGGCACCACCACAACTATGCCACCCGAAAACCGCCGCAGTCTTCCGCTTTGGCTTGCTCCTCCACCCATCGTTGACCTTTCCCAACAATTGCGGCGTGTCCCCCGATGGAACCCCCGGCCGTTACGCAACGGGACTTTTGCGCAGGCGCCTTTTCGTATTATTATTCGGTGATCTAAGCGACATTGGCCTCAAAAATATGTTTACTACGAGCCTGCGGCGTATTTTCGCCGATTATCACCGTCTCGGTTTTTTTTCTCTCGTCTGGAGGTTTTATAATTAAATCGCGCGACTATTTCCAACTGTTTAGAATCGCTCGGATTGCTACATTGCATCGTACTTCGCAAATGTCAACACGGAGGTGTGATCTTTGCTCGTTACATGCATTTCCACTTAACGTTTGATCCACTTTTACCGACTACCCCCCGGACATTTTTTTCCCACGACGTGTGCGGGAGGTTCGCAATTACGTTGCCCCGTAATTAATAGGGTCGTAAAAAATTATTTTTAGAAAAATGACGAGTAATTGCTGGGTAATGATAGGCATTAGAAGGGCATTTGCATACGGGCGTTCAATGCATTCTAATAAATTGAAGCGGAACTCGCACCAGCGGCGGCGCAAACGACCGGGCTCAACAGGCTTTGTTCCGGTTGTTTCCCAAATTTTGCATGGTAAACGCTATTCAAATTTTATAAAATAACATATTCCTATACTCGTTTACGTCAAGGAGAATTGATAAGTAAGTTTACAAACATCAAAATAATAAATTAAAAAGAAAAAATTGCTGGGGTTATGTCAGAACGTGTTTTTGACTTTCCCATCTTTGAGGTGGCAACAACGTCGAACCTCATCATAGAGATTAAATGAGTGAGACGGCTCGATCACATTTTAGTACATCTAATGAACTATGCTAATGAACTGTTCACTCCGAGTGCTGATTGCAGTGCGCGGCTTACGTGATCGCACAGTCCCATTTTAGCAAACTTTGCGCGGCAAAAAATCAGTGAAAGTTGTCTCGAACAATTTTAACTGTAATTCACTTTTATTTCATGATTTATACCGAGAAATCCTTCAGTTTTATATAAAAGCGGCACGACGCATCTGTTGGATGTCGTCACAACAAAAAACGCGCCTCATAACTCATTTCGTCGTCAGTGGCGTAGTTGGAGACTTTTCCCGGTCGTATTTCAAAAGTGTCAAAATTAGACCACCGTAAGTGCAAAGCGGGCGCCAGTGCACGTCCATTTAACTGATACTCAACAATTTATCTGTTACTTTTAGATTTCAGGAAAATTTTATTTTGTTGACCTTTGGAGCCGTAAAAGTACTTGTTTTGTTACGAATTTGAATACAATCGGCGCTCGATATCAAGGTCGTTGATCGATATGTCAAAGTTGACTGTCAAAACGAAGAGAGCGGCTCACGCCATTGTCAAAACGCAGTTTCGAACCGGTGCGACTGACATTTCGTTTTTTAACAGAGGTACGAACACGTTTTTTGCCAATTACGTTATCAAAGTTGATTACAGTTACACTGTAATTAAGCACTTATCGGTAATTGTCGCTTTAACTTTTTTAATTGGAGTACAACGAACATAACCTCAAACTCCGCACGACCTTGACTGACTCAACATGGTGGTGCTAAAGCAACACCGGAGTCGTCTGTTTGCGCATTAGACAAAAATACCGGAAAATTGACGTAGTTTTAGATTTCGAGGAAGCAGTTGTCATTCGGGCGTCCTTTAGATAATTTAAGTCTCCTATTTTAAATACAATACGAAGTTTCGGCAGCACCAAGGCCGGCCCTCCGATTGTCGTTCGAAAATTATTCAAAAGTGACGTCACCATCGCGGGTGGTTTGGTCACAACACCGGTGGTACGATCCGTTCGGTAATGATACCTTTATTAAAGTCGATGTCGAGTGTCTTATTTAACGTTAAGCAGAACAATTTCGCTATGTTTTTGTTGCAGGCAGCTTTTTCCACTTCACGGTGGGCTGAGACAGCTACAATTCTCTCGAGAACTGGTTTGATTTTTTCTTGAATGTAAGTAAGTATAACTAGCGCATATTTTGCCATAATATGGCGGCGTATGGAGTGCGTGCTATCAGGAGCACGACTGGTCGAAGCGGCGTTGCCGGCTCGCACAATTTGGTAGCACCACACAGAAGGCCTCCGTGGTCATTTGGTGCCGCGACCAGGATCCTCCCGTTGGCGGCCCGCGCAGAAAGTGAGAGTTCTCTTCGGCGCGGCCATATCTCGCTAGACAAATGCCAGGAGTTCAATCCAGATGGGCCTCAGGATATATTAGTCATGTTATATCGAGCTTGGCGCGAATTCAATGCCGCAGACGGACGACACGACACACCTCTAGACCGGGCGCATCGACCAAGAGGCGAATGCAGAGGTGCACTCGACCGCTTCCTGGTCCAACGAGACCGGTGACGTCACGACCGACGATAAATAAAGCCGCCTAATAGCAATGGTGCGATAATTACGTCTGTTTAATCTTAATTTAATTCGATTTCGCGGCCGGCGCCACCAACTCTTAATATGTCAGTATTACAGCCGCACCAGTCAAAGTCAACGATCTGGTAATGTGGTTGCAAATACGCGCCCGGTACCCGGTCTTATTTTATCTGCGGTTATAAATAGAGGTTTGATTCCCGAAACGGCGCGGAGAACACTTCCGCCAAGATGGGCCACGCGAAAGAGCCGGACCTGGATGGAGACAAGGGACACCCAAATGAGGGAGAAAACATCGCGCGGTCAATGACTGCGAACTAAGACATATACACGAACGGGACGTCTTTCTATTATTTCTAGTCTGTGTAAGCCGTCGCGCTCGACGCTTGTGTTCGGAATTCGTTTCCGTGGCGGGTCTGTTCGCGGGAGCGGCGTTTTTGCCTGCACGACGAGTAGGAGCTGTAAGAAAGCCGAAAACCAGCGCCGCGTTTTATTGAATGCTAATGCAGAGGTGTTCCGCGTGGAGTGTGGCCGGTCGCACGTAGGTGCCCTCTAGTTCAAGAACGAACGGCGAAAAATGGTCGACCAGCTATTGTGTAGCCGTCGAAAAAACGCGAATATTTGTGTAAGTCGTGTGTCATACTTATTTAAAACACCTGTGATTCGCGCGCTAAGGTGTGTGTTTATTGTTCATCTGGCACGCCATAAATTATGTGGGTGGAACGCGGGGAGGAGGAACGCAGCTATTAGCCCGCAATGGGACGCGCCTAATAACAAACGAGAAAACGCGCTGAAAAGGAAATACGAAAAACGGAGCGGGAAATTCCACGATGAATGAGACAAATTACTTCCGAGAAACGTGGAAATCTTGTCTGATGCAATTCCGCGGTCCGGTATCACGCCACTTGCTCCTTCGAGCCGGATTTCGCCGCGAGTACGTTCAGAGCGAACAATAAAAAATAAGAATGATCGCCTATTCATTAAGTCGGGTCCAGACAAACAAAAGTCTGGCATTTTTTGCGCTTGGCACGGCCGGCTATTACATAAATTTATTTTTACTGCAACGCTTTTCGAAAAGTGCGAAATTCCGACCAACTTGGCCGTCGAAATGATCGAAAAACTTTGACGAAGTCGCCGATTGCGGGACAATCGGGTGGGTTATCACGACTTGTGTCGTTGTGAACCGCCCTTTAATTTAACGCTCTGCCAGGGGCGGTTCGTTTCGCTTTCGCTAGCGCGTGAAAGCCAAACGCCCGTCTGCAAGCAAGGTGATGCAAGTCGTGCGCAATGTTTCTGCACGAGTTCACAAATTCGAAGAGAACTGCACTGGAGGGAAAAAAAGGCAATGAGTGGAAAGGAACGGGGACGAAGATGTCATTTCTCGACCAGAATACGAAAACAGTCGCGAAAAAAAGCCTGGAGTAACCAACCACATATGCATGAAAGTGAATATTCAATGAACGCCTGTTAACGTATCGTCATAAAAAACTCAATTAAATTAAGCAATTCCACGGAATGACTGACTGCAGATTGAAATAATATAGGTACTATAACTCCACATTTAAGGATTCTTCTTCAACACTAAACGCAATTTACAGATCATTAGGGCCTTTTCTGAATCACATAATCAACGAAAATTTGCAAACGAATGTAATGGGTATTTAACGAACATCTAAGCTTCGCATTAATGGCTTGTGAAATAGATAATCAAGTGAATTTAAAAATTAAATTTTCACAGCTACATTCATTTACAGATCGGTGTAAATGAATATTTAACGAAAATCCAGTGATTAATCAACCAAATGAATACTCAAATGGTTTCAAGAAATTAAATCCTCGGGATGGCGATATTGTGGCTATTCCACTTATGAAAATTCTGGTTTAAATATTTAGACCCTAGATTCATTCTGTTGATAATTAAGTAGGATCAAATAAAGAATAAAAATTTGCAAATTTGGGGTATTCACTAAACACCCAATCAGGGACGGATGGAACCATCTGGAAATCGGGAATTTTCCAGAGGTGCCAGTAGCCATGGCACAACGATTCCCGAATCCAAATTTTAAATAAAAGTACTTTTAATCCCTCTCTGATCACAGTACTCCGATATTCTTTCAAATTGCTTCAAGAATCAGACACATGGAGCCCTCGAGATTCCTAAAAATTACTTCAAAAACAAGGCAAGGGATCTCCGAAATTCTTTTAAATTACTTCAAAAACAAGACAAGAGACCACAAAGATTCTTTAAACCTACTTAAAAGCAAAACAAAAGGATTCTTTCAACTACCTCAAAAACTAGACACAAGGGATCCCCGAGATTCTTTCAAACTATGTACACAAGGGATATTCCAGATTCTTTGAAACTAATTCAAAAGCCATACACAGGGGATGCCCGAGTTTCTTTCA